ACAAATAGCGAGTAGGAGAATTAAAAGTGAATTTCAAGGATACAATTTGAGAACGTCCGTGTCCATACGTCGTTTTCCAGCACTGGGGGACGACATATTTATCGCCTATTAACACAGCAGAGCCCTTCGCAGCAAGTCCTTGAGTCAGCTGAGCTCGATTATCGTTTCGAGAAGGGCCTCTGTACTACTGTCGATTGTTTACCACCGTAAGATTCACGAAGAACTGATAGTCTATCACCACTCTCGTACAACACACTCTTGTTCTCCCGTACTGACCAGTTATTCAGCACCGAGACAGCGAAGGGAGAAAAAAACAAAGACACGCGCGCGCGACGCTCCGCAGTCAGTCGTTAGATCTCTCGACGCTCTCTCGATCACGAAGGAAAACGGTACACAGGACTAAATCTGCGACGTCAGCGTTCACCAATGTTTTCCACGGATGAACGAACGCACGATACCTCGAACAACAGCGATATACAAACGGTCTTCCTCTCTGTCCGTACGGACCAGGCGAAAATCTTCTGGCTAGAGGATCATTTCATCATCACCAACGACGATCCCGTCCAAGAAATTCGTTACTATCGACGACACGTTTCTCGCGCACACAGAAAACAATCCTTTCCCCTGAACCTCCACCGCCTCCGCCACTTCGAAACGCCTGTTCTCGTGCACCCCACGACCTGTCAACTCACGGACTTCACCACATCTGATTCCGTTTCTGCACTGCTCTCTTGCTCGCTATTACTGCTACCTCTGTCTCACGTCGTGCCAAAGAATGCGCGCGCACGGTACGAAATTCCCTGCTGCCGACTCTTTCACGGACCAATGTTACTAGGAGTCCGGAGCCAATGTTACTTTTTTTTCTTTATTTCCCTCTTTTATTTAAATATGATAACAAATTCAAATTCTATTATTCTTATACTTGTATTATTATTCTCTAACTAAAAACTTGATAGAATTCAGAAAAACAGATTACTAAATACCATTTATCTATTTCATATTCTAATTGTACGAATAAACTACGTTTTTGCTCTTGCATTATTGTTTGGAACAATACTTTGTCTATAATACTACGATTATAGTTTGACGGATCAAATAGAACAACTTAATATGTTATACATAATCGTATGTAACAAATAATTCAAGTAAAATATATGTCTAATTTGAAATACAGTTATTAATAATGTGAAAAAATAAATAAAGATCATAAAATCAAATACAAATATGTTAGTATTGCAGTCGATACAGAATTCATATCAAATGAAATCACAAGTTTTTGGTAACACTGTAAAATAACCGTAGTAATTACGAATATTGTGAAATATGAATTTAGATTGTTTGTCGATTTACGTTTGAAAGTAGAATATAAGTAGTACATAAAATACTTATGAGTAAAACATAAATACCTTTTTAAAACGACAATATGAGGCCCAGTAACTGTTGAGTTTTGAGATTCTAGACATTCAGAGCTAACCCTTCAACACATGTTAAAAGAAATTGAACAAATATGAGCACTAGGTCTGATACAAAAAAATTTGATACAACTATTACTCTTTAAATTGGATAAATCTTGGAAACAGTTTAATGAAGATTAAATTATTCGTCGAGGTAATTGTCATACGGTTTTATGGTTCCTGTAAATGTTAAATAATGTTGAAACAAAAGACGTAATTATAATGGCAAACACACATACCAATATACGCACACGCAGAGACTTAAATATATGATACATATCGGACGTATATTAAATAGATACTGTACATAATACATAATTTTCAACTGCTTTAAACCACAATAGAAATTTTAGAAAAACGAAGAAATTTGCTTGTAACTCAATATTGTGTGATATTTAATAATAATACAATACTTTTCTAACAAATTGATTTATTTAAAAAATGTATAAAATTGTGAATATAAAAATGTTTGATACATTAGAAAAATGTAAATAAATTAAACACTACACCAAAATTGTATAATGTCATGACACATAAAAATATGAATCTTTTGTATTATTGATATATTGGACCTGTCACGTTTATAAAATTATTTAAAAATAGAACAATGAATTATACAATACAAAATATTCTATCAAAATCGTTATTGATTGATCTGTTTCATTAAATAGATTAGTAGGCATAGAAAATACTAGACCTACTGTTTTAAGTATAAGTACTCTATGTATGTAACTAATGTGCACTAGATTTTCTATTAAAATGTTAGAGATTTATTGCACCATTTTTCTTTTAATCTTACTTCCATGCATGTATGTCCTAGAAAATAAAAATGTAAAAAAATTATTCAAACAATGGATGAAAATTAAACAAAATATACTGAAAAACTTAATACTGCCAAAAGATATTTTTTTATATAATAGTAACACAGACTAAAAGGATGTTGGATACACATCGCTATCGCTATGAAAATGAAATGCACGTAAAAATGTCAATAAATGCCCAATATTGATATGTATATAAAACGACGGAATAGATTACACGTCCTTAAAGGAAAGTTCATAAAAGTACTTGTTGGGTTAGGGGTAGCTATTATAATTATGGTAATAGTATTATGACTGTTTCATGTCCGAGTGTGTAAAAGAATCTTATTCAGTAGGTGTTGATTAAATCTAAAATGGAATGTCCCACGAAATATGCGTAGTACACGTTACCCTATCATAATCACGTATATAAATGAGATTAATGATGAATCTAGAAATGACTTTGGATTCACTGCATTATTAAAACACTAAACATTCAGTTAAATATTTTTGTAAAAATCGCACCTTAGATGTTATGTTGTATTTAAAAGTGAAGCTTAAAAAATATTGATCCTAATAAATAGTTGATTTTGGCATGAAATGATTACTTATTAGAGTATTATCAGTCACCGTCTTTTATAAATATTGAGAAACCGTAGTTTAACCATATTTATAGTCCGACGAATTTAAGTACAAAAGTTTTGACTGGTCAACTTGCCACTTTTCTAGTGCTTTGTAAAATATTTACGATATTCATTCTACAGCTGTTTTTCGCGCGAACGCAGTCAGAGATAACATTTCATTGGGATCTGTTGATAAACGTGAAAATTCTATTTCTTCGCTAAGACTATTTTCTGTAAGAAATTAGATAACAATTAAATTAAAATTATAAGCTATATGAATAAAGATAAATTTCTTTATTTACCAGATGGTTCAATAGGCCATTGCTTATGGGAAGGAGCATATAGACATAACAGTGCTATAATATAAATATTCCACATGCCATATACACCAGTAAAGAATGCTGATGTCATTTCTAAGTGTATTTCTTCATCCCATTTCCACTGACCTTCAGCAACCTATATTGAACATTATAGAAATTAATGTCAATAATAATCAATATGTAATTTGTATAAGAGAAGCTGTTACGTTACTTGGCCAAGAATGAATCCAATGACAGTTAAAGAAGCGCACAATAAGGTTGCTATCATCAAAAACTTAAACCGATATATTACGCCTTCATAATGTAGACGTCTTGCAGAACTCATACTAGGTAATGCAGCTCTTTTTGCACTAATATTCATAAATACTTTCCATATCATGTAAGATAAGAAAATTAAATATACACCAGCCGACACCCCAGCTAAAATTATAAATGATAACTGCTTTTTTCAGTCAAGGAAACTAAAATCTTGTAACAATAAGTTAAACATGTCTTTTTTTATAAAAGGATACAGCAAATTTAGTTCCCAAATCTGTAACCCATATTGAATAGAATGGATTTCTTAATTGTACTCCACGTTCACACATATCAAATACAAATAATGACAGGCATCCAATGCCTACTGCAGAAAGATGACGCCAATAACATTTTAAGGAATTTCTTTGTTCACCTTCCTAATTAAAAAAGTGCATTACAACAGACACTAAGGTAGAATATACAACAATAAAAAAAAAGGTTAACTCACCTGTATCTATTCATGTAATACACAACATGTAAAAGAAACATATGTCATTAGTATATAATATTAAATAAATCTTTTTACATCTATCTTATATTCTTACCATAAGATGTTCTCCCGCAAATACAAGCCAAAAAGACAAAAGAGTAGCATAGAATACTCCTTGTCTAATATCACCCAATAAAAGCATAAATGGCATGTCATAGGCTAGTGTCAAGTACTCCAAAGGCACTAAACAAAATGCAAAAAAATAATACATCTAAGCACTTGTAAATAAAATTAAATCAACAGACACATTATACAACATACTATTCAGAAATGATAATGCTGTGCCCAGTGCTAACAGCAAATATTCCAAGAGAGCAGGTGATCGTGAAAGCATGTTTACTCTTCTCCAGTACCACGCAAGGACACAAATGACAATTGGGAAATAAATGGTCTTCAAACTTACCCACACCTTTGTGAATCCACCATTCTGATTGATAGCCTAAATTTGGACGAATATAATATAATATTGATACCTTTCAATTGTTGCATTTCTAAGAATTACATTTTAATATATTTTATATATTTACAGTAAGCCACAAATCAGTTATATGCCCTAAACCCTGATTAATGTTTCTGTCAGTGTCAGCTGGAAGGCGGATATTTAAAAGATAATAATCATGAAATAAGGATCCCAATTCAAATAATGGTACCATGCTGCAATTATAGTTATACTGTTCCATTGCCTGAAAATTACCATATACATATTATAGAGAATATTATAGAATCATATAAATATAATTATATCTTAAATATTGATTGATTTATGTATTTACATCATCAATACTGCAATCTAAAATCCTTTCCACCACAGAGGCAGCATATGGTTTCCAAGCATCATCAGAATCTCCTTTGTTCCTATATGCAAGTCTTGCATCCAATGTTATTTTAGTTCTAGGAGCTAAAAAATTGATATAAAATAATTAGTATGTTTTCTTAAAACATCTATCATTTATCAAAATGTTGTAGTTAATTTATATTTGATTAATTACCAATTTCTATTTGGCTATGGTAAGCAATGTCCACTTGTAAAACACCAATTAAATTTTGTTGCCATCTAGAATAATCAAGTTGCATACTGTTTCGTGGAACAGGCATCTATAAAAAATTAAATATATTTAAATTTATATGTACTATACTTCTTTAAAGTAATGCACTTTAAATAAACCTACTTGAAAAGTATAAACAACTTGATATGCTTGATGATGACTATCAAAGCTAAAACGATTCATATCAACAGGAATACAAGATCCCTTTCCCCTTGAATAAAACCATTTGCCTCCTCCAGGTTCAGATCCATTTACACGAATATCTTTGCACGGTGTACCAAGTATATTTTGACTACTAGCAGGTGTTGGAGCTTAACAAAAAAATATTTATATCTGTCTTAAATCTTATATTAATTAATCTACCACATTCAAAAATTTCAGAAATACATATAATTAATAATTTATAAATGAAAAGAAACTGTAAATTAATTTCACTAAGCATTCTGCATTGTTTTCATTAGAAGTTTAATACATTTTTCAGATTTGTTTAAGTAATAGTCATATTTTGTTAATCAACTTGCATAAAAGTAAATAAAGAAATTATTATGCATTTGAACAAGTGTTTAATAGTTTACACAAATTGAAATTTAAAAAATCATTAATGTGAAACAATTGTTTCTTGCATTAAAATAATATTGAAATGGTTGACTTTTCTCAACTTACCAATGAGCCCGCCTATTAGAAAACAAACAATTTGCGCAAGAATAAGCAGTATTACAAGTACCGAAAGTTTTCTACCACTTAAGTTTTCTATGATAGTTCCTTGCATTTTGTTTTTTATTTTATAAAGTTACGCCTTATAATTGTTAACGAAACTATACACAAGTTATAATGGCACTAAAATAGCACAAATGAATGCTTCCGCCTGAAGAGTGTGAAGAGCAGTTTAACGTGCTTTTCGAGTAGCTTCGCTTTCAAAATGGATGCTGCGTTGTACCAATGTTTACAAACTTTTACCAAAAGGATTCTTCAAATATTTCTTGATCAGTGCTACCAACAATCGTGTAAACAATTTTCCATAATCTAGAAAGCACTCTATAAATCAGAGATGTTTAACTCACTCCCCTCACGCTAGTAACTTGGTAACAGCATTCCCCACTACTTCTACTCAAGGAGCTCCCCGAGACTGGTATGTGAGCATTTGTATGCATGTTCAATCACAGCAAAAATAGGAATGGAGAGGGAAGAGGGGAGTGTCACTAGAGTGCTCACGGACGTCAATTTAGCACCTTAACTTATAGCGCTGCCATGCAAAATCAGGCTTAGTCAATATGACAGAGCGTAAGACGAAAATGATAAGGAGGTCCTAAGACCCTTGAGAGCGTGTGACAAAATTTTACATTGCATGTTATGTCTATCATATACATCGTCTGTGCTTATACGTATCTTAAGCTGTGTTTTTAACTTTATAATTCTAACGACTAACGTTAGATGGCTGTAACAAAATTGAAAAGTAGATACGCATCAATATGAATGTCTAATTCGTGAGTGAAGTAGAAACAAACATTTGGAGCAATAATTTACTCATTTGAACGTTTATTATTAATATCTGAAAGAACAATTATTTATTTCAATCCTCTTAAAAATATTATTAAGTGCAGTTACCTAAAACCTCATACCTGTTTAAAATAATTAAAGGCATTTTATTTAATCTGAACAAAATTTGGTATATTATTGTTTTACATATTGTGATAGCAATCAGAATGTGATAAATGTAATACTTGTGTTATACATATGAACTAAAAATATAAGATTAAAGACATATAAATTTAAAAATACGAAATTTCTTATATTCACTTGTTTATACTTACAAAAAAAGAGTTGAAATGTAAAATTTGACACTATGCCTGGTGGAAGACGTAATGCTGCTACTCGAAATGGTCAAACTAAATCTCAAAGTAGTTTTTCTGGAAATACAAATACAACTGCAAGAAGTAATAGTGGTGAGAGGATAGCTGGATGTGGTATAGACGATAAAAGATCAGAGGACTTCTGTGCAATAAAAACATTAGTACCAAAACATGTACCAATACCAGTGGTACCTATTGATGGTCATTTAACATTTGAAGCATTATCTTTGGTTGTATCACTTGTTGCAGCTTCTTTACAGATGCTTAATTTGTATAGAACTGTGTGGTGGTTACCTCATTCATATAATAATTACAGTATGGTATGTATTATATATGTTATATTAATTTAGTGTTGTTTAAAATTAAAGCTTTCACTACCTTCTGCTTCTTTTAGAATTTTTATTTAATAGATCCTTACTTAATCATTTTCATTATCACTATGATGGCACGACAGTTTATTTATTCCTTATTACGCCGGTTTATTGATGTGTCAGTGCCAGTTCGTTGGTTGCCGGCTGCTCAAAATATTATGAGGTATTGTTTATTATAAATTATGTCAATTATATGTGTTTTTTATAATATATTATTTATTATTTTTCAGGATAATTCTTTTAATTATTGTGATGACTGTATTGTGCTGGTGTCTGTATCACATGGCAGAAAGACATAATTCTATGAAAATATTTTACTTGTGTTACCCGTATGTACTTTAATAATACATATATTGAGAATTTTAAACGATATAAAATGGAAGTTTTGGTTACTTGATCTACTTTGTTTCAGAAGTTTATCAGTGTATTTTGTAATGTTTGGTATGAGTGCAACTCCTTTCTTTGATGTATCGACAGCACCTTTGTGCAACAAAGATGACAAAAAGACAAAATACTTGCTAGGTTTATAGTGTTCATTTTTTAAAAAACATATACTTTTAGACTGAATATATAATGTCTGTTCTTTTATGTAGATAAGCCATTACATAATTGCTCGTTAAATGCATCTGCAATCAGGGCAGAAGTTTCTACTTTGAGATCTGATTTTAATCGTCGTTTAAAACGAGCTTTGTTTGCATCTTCTAGTAGTGCTTACATATGTGGTATTGCGCCTATTATATTTGTACCTCAGTATTTGCATTTCAATGTTTCATGGGTTGTGCAACATGTTATTATGTTTTGGATTGGAAAAATAAATGCTCATTTTTCACAAGCTTATCCAGTTAGGTAAGTACTTTATATAAAAGTTTATAAACATAACTCTTTATTATTATGCTTATTCAATTGTATTTGTATGTTATTATTTCAACTTTTGAATGTTGCATTAAAAACTTCATTTGCAGAAAACTGATGAATACCCTAATTATTTAGGTACTGTGATGTGTTACACAGAGCAGCATTACATTTAGGACGGTGGGTTAAAATCGAAAACCGCAACAATCATATTTATGCACAAGCATGGAACGATTCAGTTTTATGGCCTCATGGTTCAGTAGTAAGGCATAATAAAGAAACTTACCGTTCTGAAGGTGTATGTACAGTAGCAGAACCTGGAAATTCAAACCACTACAGATTTTATGTACGTTATATGGACATTAAATATATTCTAACATTATTATATTTTTATATAAATTGCTTTTATTATTTTATACAGGCTTTGTTCAGTAATCCCACAATGCTACTTTGTTCATTATTGGGACTACAATTTTTACTTGTGGGTACACAACTGTTCATTTTACTAAGTACTACCGATTGGTATCAAGTGTTATCGATAACATTGCTCCTCCTCATTAACTACTATCCCTTATTTAAAATAACTAGAGACTATCTTATTTGTTGGAAAGTATATCATGCTGAGCAAATTATACAAGAAAAGTCACAATTGTGTTCAAATCCAGTTATTCAATAAACAAATAAAAAATTTAAACATGTTACTATTATGTTTACCTTTCATTATCATTAATATTATCCTATCATATATATTATTGTACTATACAATAATATTATAATAATTATTTACAAATAAATAATACTCTAATTATAATATTATTGATGATTAATAGTGATATTATAAATTAATTTGATTAAAATACAGTTGTTATTTTGTATAAAGAAAATTACGGGATAAATAAACAGTTTCAATCACGTTTATGTGACGATTAAATAATGGCATTACCTATTTTTTACGATACTGTTACTGTAGTAGTTTTATTCTAGTGAAATAAATCTATAAAGGCTTTTAGCTCGTATAACGAATGATTACATGATTATTGTCACGAACGAAAACTATTTGTCATACGAATTGCTTAAATGACTATTTTATTTTTTGTTTGTTTGTTTAATTTGAGCACCTTAATTCAGACAATATGACTTGCAACGTAAAAATACATTGTTTACATCCTAAGCATTTTGTGCTTTGAGAAATTGAAATTTTGGTATCCATTTCATAATAATGATCAATTAAATTAAGTGTATTGCATGATTATCGTGCTACAATTAGACAGTCACAATTACTCTTACACTTATAAGTCAGGTATAAAGATTTACTACAAAGTTAAATTAGATAAAGATTTTCGCTCGAGGCTTGTGTTCTATAGCAATTGTATACGCAATACCATTTTACAAAATATTAAGTAATAGTTATGCGTTGGAAGTCATAGCGATCTGTCTCTTGTTCCACTAAAGGTTACGAAGTATTACAATTTTATATCATCTGTGTAAGTTCACTCAGATCAATCAATTTACTCATAGATACTCATGATTTATCATTTATATATATATATAAATATACGGAGATTTGTTCAAGCAATAAAATGTAAGTATGTTAATACTGCGAGTAGTATCTGAATGCACGTGTTCGAAAATATGTTAGTTGCACCTCCAGATGACCCTTTTGGATTTGTATACTCTTCTATCCATGATTTGTAAGAATACACTCTGGTGTACACATCTGGCAAGCCGTTTGCACATGGGTTACCGTACGAAACGATTCCAACTTGTTCAGAATCTACAACCAGTGGTCCTCCGGAATCACCCTGAAATAAATTATATTGATTATTCTGAATCATGATCTATTATATTAAAACCAGAAAAAATTTGATGAAGATAATGATTAGTGTCAAGTGATCACTGTTATAACGGTTAATTATGATTTAAAGAAAGTATCCTTCAAAGAAAAAATTTCTAATCAATAATGTACATTAACGTAAAAAAAAAAATTTGCTAAGAAAAAATCTAATGTATTGTAACCAATAGCTTGCAATTTTGATTTGTTTGTTGTATGATTCGAATGCACAGAAGGCAAGAATGTAATAACTCTTAAACTTTTTTATACATTCATGTTAATTTTAATATTTGTATAAGTCTCTAGCTTTCGATTGAGACATACTATATGATAATGAATAAAATATTATTGCCTTTTGAAAAATATAAAAATTACATATGCACATCTAATTTATTCACTAAACTAAAGATTTAAATAAATATGTTTGCTCTTTTAGTTAGAAAAATAATAATAAAAATATTTTGTTTTGTACGTTTAATTACATCTACTACTAATGTCATACGTACATGGCAAACACCCTCTGATACTTTCGTTAATGTACAGATCTGTGTTGATTTCAGCGTACTCCAGGTAACCACACACACATCATTTGGTATTATTTTTAAGGAAATTTCTTGTAAATACTCAGAAGCTTTTCCATTTAGCTAAAAAATATGTTTTTGTAAATGAAAGTTTATCTTAAAACATCTTTGTTCAATTTTCATAATAATACATCTTTTCCAAATATTTATATATAACTTGTACAATAACTTTGAGGAGAAAACATGTTTTACATTGTAATTGGAACGGAAATTAACTTACGACAAGGCTTCCCCAACCAGTAACAACAGCAGGTTGATTTGCAGGAATCGCAAATTTGGTTGCAAGACCGATTGGTTTAACTTTACTGTCGAATAAAATATTTGACTTTAAATATATTAAACCTATATCATTAATCAAAGTTACATCGTTATAGGCCGGATGCCAAATGAGTTGCTCCGCTCGGTAAACTGTTGCCCACTCGTACACAGAATAGTGTCCAACATTTACTTCATAGTCAAGTCGCTTTTGTCTATAAAAATGAATTATATAGTTAATGAAATGCTAACAAACAAACGATTATTTTGACATACATGAAAATCCAAAAAATAATACAACTGGAAGTTAGAATATCATTGAACACTTTTTATATTTATTACTAGGATTTTCATTAGTTTTCATAATATTTCAAGAAATACGTTTTTCACCTCCAATTTTAGGAAGTGTAGTCACTCCGTAAACATAGGTAAGTTACATATTTTTCGAAGCTTTGCATATGTGTTTGTAAACAATGAAAATTTCTGCACTAACAGTAATTATTACTAAAAATAATAAACTTTATAATTTCTAAGACTTTTGTTTACAAATTGTTTTCATTATATACCTTTAATTAAACAATTTGTTACACGTGTAAATTAAATATTTTATTCTTAAAAGCAAAGTTAATTGTATTTGCTATTACTAAAAAAAGATGTAATTTTAATATTTTGTCAGACACCCCGACTATGTTCAATAGCTTAAAAAAGTTTACAACTCTCACTCTATGTGATATAATTTCTATAACCACCAACAGAAAATATATCGTTCCTTATTATAGTAGTTCGAATATTTTTATATTACGTCACTGTTTTGATATTCATTGTTACTTGATATTATACATTACATTATATAATAATAATAATAATATTTAAAAAAAATTGTACTTATTAAATTTGTATCAAACATTATAAATTTACATTATAGACATCTTTTTTCGATGATGTAGCCATGATTGAAACAATTTCGTGCAACACTCAAATTCTAGGAAATATTAAAAGATAAAACATAATTTACTTTTTATCGGTAGCAAACATACAGTTAACGATAAGGACATGCTTACCATTTAAAAGCAAGGTTGTCGGTGCAATTAACTAGTAACACTGAATTCATCTGACTAATTTTGCATGTACCATTTGATGTTAGACACTGATAATAAAGAATATTACGATTAAATTATAATTCCCATTTTGAATTTGATAATTAACAACATTTTATTGTTGTCTTATCTTTGTTTCAACGACACAGATACTTATTGCAAGTTAATAAAAGATTTTATAATAATGTTTCACCTTGATTTATTTAATTAGTTATGTGCAGCATTTAAATTATACGGATCTAAGTTAATTTCTGTGAGTCAATTTGACTTATTTATTGATACGCTCGTGTAAACAATTTCTTTATAAATCTTTGTATGTACATTGCTAATTTTAACATTTTTAAAACTTCGGAATTTATTATTTAAAATTTCTAAAGAATTTCTTAAAACTGTTGTATATAGTGTCTAGAGAAACAAATGTAGATATTTATATTTGAAAACTAACTATCGTTCAACTGTAAAGTATAAAATTTAATTATCTTTGTTACTAAGTCACATTTTTAATAGCAAACACCTAACGCAGATATGTATTGTTAAACATAAATGTTTTATTTCGATGTGATAGACCTGAGAACAAAGAAACTACGTTTGCGCGATATCGGTGAACTGGCTGACTTGTTAAATATTAACGTTCATTGTGTGAAAGAAACTTACTTGTAAATGCAGTGAGCGGCCGTAAGAATATATCGTTTGGAAATGATGGATCCTCCGCATATAAAGACATTTGATCTCCTTATCAAAGCTTGGTAAGGATATTTTCCTCGTTGTGCATCATGTCCTCCAACGATTCGAAAGTCCAACGCTATCAAAATTACATACGACTGGAAATGTATTTAAGAATCGTTGTCAACGATTTTAAATTATACGAATAAGTAAAATTTCAAGATGTCAGAAAATAAAACTTGAAACAAACTATCACTTATTTAAAAGTTGAAAATTGTGAAAATTTTAATTTCAAATTGATAAAAGAACACCATATATGATTATTAATCTTCGATATTATGTTACAGAAAATAAAAAATAATACCATGGACACTAATAATCGAACTAAGAATTAAAAGTACAGTTCCCGAATACATAGTGTCGTATACTGAATGTCTGTCAGGTTCTCGCTAATCTATATATATATATATATATATATACACGTATATTTTTGATGTAATGATTAGTATGACTAATACAATCAGAACGATAAAAGTTGTTATCATTTATCTTGTGATTTCGTTTTTTTCTACTAAGAAAGTAACGTTGCACATACCATACAGGACAATTGATTTTTATTTACGAACAGGTGCTTATTAAATAAACTTAAATTTTTTAAAAATAACTCCAAAATGAATATCGAGCAATGTGATGAACTCATGATTTATCATTTCTAAATAGTATGGTAGTATGAATATGAACAACAGAGTAATGGGAATAAGAAATCTAATAAATATAAGGAATAACAAACTTGTTGAAAGAATGATTGTTATGAGGAAAATTATTACAAAGTACAGAAGTTTATGTATTTTTCCATGAAAACTGCTGAATTTAATGATAGATAAATGGATTTTTAATTACCGTGCCAAAGATACCAAAGTCAAGCAAACAGTGTCAGTTTTTCTAAAACGAATTTGAATGAAACCGAACACCCGGTATTCATTTCCTATGAAAGCGATAAAGCTTTATACGCTATACCATATAGAAGATACTGATAAGATTAGTCACGCACATTGATTTCCACATTGCCCATGCAATGTATGTATTTTATGTAACTATTACAAATTTTAGAAAATAAAATGGAAAACTTATCTGATTGCAAATTACAATTGTTTCATAAAGATCATGCAATAAAATGTGTAATGGCATTAGTCTTAAGTAGTAACTTAATAGTCTGAAGAAAAACATTGGATAATTATGGTTTTAAACAACTTATAAAGAGCAAGCTACATTCTTGCAGCACAAGCAAAATAAACTTCTTAAAGGGTGTGCTTTTGTATTCTATATTCTTCAATTAGGGCATAGTCGTTCGTCAAGCATCATCGGATGCAGTTAATAAGAATACGTCAAATTCACAGATAGTGGCTGGTTATGTATCTGGACTCAGTGGTATGTCACTAATTAACGAAACAAATTGTGTCATTAAGGACGGGCTACGGTATAATTCATTTTAACAAACTCTCTCGAATGTGCACGTACCTGCCGCGACGGAGATCAGCCGAAGATTTGTTATTATCAGTTCATGGTCGAACATTATCCCGTCTACGGCCAGTAAGCAACTGAGATTTTATTTATATTTTTATATTAGAAGTAAGATCGTAATTGTATGATAATTGAGATAGCAAATATTTGACGATAATACCCGCTAGATTGCTGGTTCTGGAAGATAAATGAAAGATGAGGTTTTTGAAAGAGTAATATTTATCATCAACTAAGCATCGTCGTAATCGTTTTGTTTGAAAAATTTTATCTGTTATTTGGTCACGGGCGATATTTTTATCATTAGCACATAAGAAATAATAACCAATTACTTTTTAGAGCATGTGACATTTGCACTCCAAACAATACTACTAATATCTGTCCCAATTGCCAGTGTGTGCTTTCCAATGGAGAGCAACGGAGTGCTTTGACCGTGAACAGGTTGTATCCAGCACCAAGTATACAAGTTTGCTTAGGTGATTCTATCGAGGTCGATGTTGTTAAGCGAATCGCGGAAGATCAAATTACGATTCACTGGCACGGAGTGTTGCAGTACGGTACTCAAATAAATGATGGAGTACCCTTTGTTACTCAATGCCTGATTCTGGCAGGAGATACGTATAGGTAGGTAATGGTTCTCAAATTGTCGAATAGAGAGTACTACTCTCGAGACTAGAATTTGCTGTTGGATAAAAATGTGAGGACACGTTCTGTAAACAATTTGAGAATAAATTGTAGATTGTTTATCAAAATCGCCTAACTTTCTTATGACTTATTTTTACTTAGAAGAATGTTTGTAAACTTTATTATATTTATTGCTGTGAGTTATAATTACAGTAAGTGTGCCGAATGTGAGATTTCACATATGTTTGATTTGATAGAGTTAACACTAGGTTTACGGGCATTATACACTTCATTCTATTATTCCTAAAAGAATTGATGCTCGTTTATTTAGATTGTGGAAACTGGAGATTTGATAGTAGGTAATTGGGGTACATGTCAGTGTGATCGCATCAATCAAAATCCGCGTAAACATTTACAAAATAATATTTCTAAAATCCAATATGCATCAATCTGACGCGTTCCGTAAACCTAGTGTTAATATATAAGCATACTTCACTATACTTAAGATTAATATTAAGTACACTTAAGATTCATTGGAAAAGTACGTGGATCAGAAAATTCGATTCGATTCTTGTTTTGGAATTTGTAAATATTGAATCCAAAAGTGGACAAGATTCGTTCCTTATTCCTCCCTAACCCTGCGTTATTATAATCAAACAGAGCTATTTCGACCTAACATGTACAATAGATTTGTAAGTAAAATTTTCATAGAAAACTAAGATTCGTGTTGTAATTTTAATTCTCTTCGCGTGCACACAGTTCCATTTTCGACATCCGACGCGGGTAAATTAGTAAATGGAATTATTTTCGATAATCCACTTTCAAATTTCCAACCCCGAACATTTACCTGTAAGATTCATTGTCAACTGCACGTGTACGCATGTGATACCTATTCCGTTATATACTGTCGTACAAACCATGTTCGTCGAATGGTAAGTGACCACTGTTTATATTGATTAACAAATGATCACTTAACTCCTAAGTTAATAAATATTAGAAAGTGAATAGAAAACTTGATGCTTCATTTATTTGTGAATGTTGAAAGAGCAGAAATGAGCATATATATAGATCATAATATAATTATGTTTCAATTGTAGTTCGCATACCGTACGTAGTGCATCCTTTCCATTTGCACGGATACGCACTGTCGTGAGTATGGGCCAGCCATTAGGTCCTAATCAGAATGCTACTGGTGAGATTAGCGTCGAGTACGTGCAACAACTTCAAGTCCGAAAGTCAAATAGAAGACACTTTGACCGATCCTCCGATGAAAGATATTACTGTCGTACCGATTAATGGATTTTTTGCACTAAGATTCCGTGCTGATAATCCAGGTATAGAAACTTATTTAATTGACTGAGTTAAATCACTAAATTTTCCTTCTTATTCGTCTTGACTGTGTTTATCAATTCGAATAGAAATAAGACAAAATAAACGACTTGTTATCTTAAAATAGTTTTAAATTAACTTTTTACAAATTATATTTCATTATCATTTTAAGTAATAACATATAAAATTATTCATATGAATGAAAGTCGATATGTGTAAAATATTTAAAATTAGGATTACTTTAATGGCAATTGTATAAAAAGGCGTGTATGACAACCTTAGTGAAGAGACAGTCGAATGCTGGTCGTCAGCGTTTCGTCAAATAGCGGCTTCTTAAGGGAAAGCGTCCTCAAATCTCGGGGTGCAATAGACAGAGCCAGAGCCATGCTAACAAGAGGGAGTCCTCAGGCTAAACAGTGCCCTTCTCAGGGCATTCTTTCTGTAGCTTTCGAGCAAGTAACGTTGCAGTAAAAAGATTACGATTCCAAGGAGTTTTTACCACTTTATTTTATGCCTACAAAATCCTGTCTTACAGGCGCGATTAAACTCAACTTTTGTATGGTTTATATTAATAATACAATCATGATTTATAACGAATATTATATAATGAGTGCTTCAAATTGGTTACTCCACATTTTATGATACATTTCGAATATACATAGTTTTCTTATTGTTACCGCAGTTTTGAGCAAACGTAAACAAACTTTCGTATCCCCGTTGAGGATCGAATAAGGGCATCATAATTATGCAGGATGCTAAGAGTAACTTAGTAATAGTAATCTTATAGTGTTAAAAAAATGTTTGCTCTTTTTAAATTTCAGATTATAAAATTATTGTATTACAAATAAAATTACACAGAAATTCTATATGAAGTAACATCTTACACAATTTACCAATAAAAATTGAACGCATAGAATAATGTAAGTTGTTTCTACACGTTCGCTTCAGTTTTTCTAACAGCTGTTGCTTCATTAAAGATTCTATAATCATAATGTGGGAGTCGTTTGATTTAATAAGGCCACACACCTGACAGATTGCTTATCTTTTGTCTTCAAATCACATAATCTCTGTTTCCAAGAATACGCAACTGTATGTTGCCAGGAAATGAAAAAATATGGCAAAATTTGTCAGATAAATGTGGGAATGCATTTCGTGTTTTGTGCAGGTGTCTCTATTATTTATTTGAAACGAGTATTAAAAAATTTGTTAACTCAGCTCAATAGTGGCAACACATACGTAAACTACATTATAATTCTTGATAACTTATTTAATTTTCAATTCAAATAGCATTGTTGACAGCTTTTATATACAATTTTATATAATTATAATAGTTTGAACATCGTGATTCTTGCATGGCCGAACGTATATGCGAAATCTCCATAAATCTTATATTCAATGTACGAATATTTATTTTAATTACTTGAACAATGGGATTGCCGTGCATGTATAGCGTTCAAATGCAACATGACTGTTAATCAATGAAAATATATCGTCAAGTCATTTCATGCATGTATTTGGGAGCAAACGTGTCGGATGTATGTTAAACTTGACATCGTGAGGGTGATTAACGTTATCGATAAAACATATAGGACAAGATTTGCTCTTTTATAAAACGAAAAGTTCGAAAACACTCCTACTATATATAAGCACAAGGTTGAGAGGCTGTCGCTGCTGAAATTGTGGCCGCGATGGAGGTCTTCCGGGATTACTATACATCTACATTATTATACATATTATTAAATGTTGCTTTTATACTTTCTGGTACGAAAAATTCCTCTGCTTACAAACTTTACTACTCTTCAATCATTCGTTGGATTATAATTTCAAAATAATGATTGTTTTACAATTTATTATAATAAGAACTTTGATTTCAATTGCAGCTGCAAACGGAGGAAAGCAATGTGAAGTTATTAAAGCCGGTTATGCACCTGGACTCAGTGGTATGCCCACTATTAATAAAACAAGTTGTTTGGTTGGAGAATTACTTGAGGATTCTACACTGTCAAATGCTCTTGATTGTGCCCGTTCCTGTCGCGCTGGACAAAAACCGAAAACCTGTTACTACAAATTTGTGATCGAACGTTACCCCATAAACGGGACGTAAGCAAAATTTTTGAAGTTTTCGAATTAATTGAATATAATTTTTAATTACAATGCATTCAAAGGTGTATAGCCATATGTTCTTGAACTGATCTTTTAACATTTGAAATTAAAATAAAACCTAAAATCTATTCAGAATTATGTAATGTGATCTATTGAGATCGCAAATAACATTGTGGAACACGATTTTTGTTTTAAAATAGCCACTAGGTGGCCCTTATAGAGTTCCTTACCCTAAATACGAATCCGAAAACCAAATTGCCGGGTCACGTCCAGTTTTCGAAAAAACTGGGTTTTTGTAAAAACGGTCGAATTTTTCAGAAAACCAAGTGTTACGTGAAAACTAAAAACGATGGGCAGTTAAATTTGTCGCAGAACATAAAGGAGATTTTCCGGAACACGTAGCTATAAAAATTTAGAATTTTGCGTATCATTAAATGTTTGTAAATGATGATCAAAGTTTAAAAAAGGTAAATTTGCTGTGCAGCATTGAATTCTGCAGACATTTTTGAAGAGGAACCCCCCGCGGGAAGCGTGAGATCGGTTTTTCTTTGGGCCAGGGTAAGAAAATGTCCGCGAAGAGCGCGTGCACGGAATTTTGGCGCCACACGGCTATCGCTCGCCGACCACGCTATGCAGGGCCGTGACTACGCGCTGTATAGACTTGGACCCCGGTCACTTCTTATATGGATATATAATGTTTAATTGTTTTATAAATTTTCATAATAGTTTTTTGAAAGCTTTTCACAATCATTCTGTTTTAAATAATTCACTGTTTAATATGTGAATACACATACAGATGTAATATTATTACGATGATTAACACTAAAACTATCGAATTAGTCAAGATTGCCGGTTTAAATTGTATTATCTTTCGATTATTAATATTATGAAAGTAATAGATATCTAAAATGTTTTTGAAAATTAATTAAGTTTACTGGAACTGTAATGAATATTCGGGTATACTCAGTAGTGTTAGTGTTAACTTAAAAATACTTCAGCAAACATTCATTGTAGATCCTACTTTGTGTAATAGTCTTTTACGTCAAATTTAATACTCTATATGAATTCAGAATATCATTAGATGTACCATGTAAAAAAACCGATTACAATGATGTTTTTCCTTTATATTATATTATATTAAATTATTATATTAAACATCAAATTATTTAAAACAGAACGATCGTGAAAAACTTTCTCATAACTATTATGAAAATTTATAAAACGATTAAACAGTTCTTCGCGGACATTTTCTTACCGTGGCCCAAAGAAAAACCGATCTCACGCTTCCCGCGGGAGGTTCCTCTTCAAAAATGTCTGCAGAATTCAATGCTGCACAGCAAATTTACCTTTTTTAAACTTTGATCATCATTTACAAACATTTAATGATACGCAAAATTCTAAATTTTTATAGCTACGTGTTCCGGAAAATCTCCTTTATTTTCTGCGACAAATTTTAACTGCCCATCGTTTTTAGTTTTTATGTAACACTTGGTTCTCTGAAAAATTTCGACGGTTTTTACAGAAACCCAGTTTTTTCGAAAACTGGACGTGACCTAGTAATTTGGTTTTCGGATTCGTATTTAGGGTGAGGAACTCTATAAGAATCACGTAGTGATTATTGGAAAACACAAAAAAAGTTCAAATTTGTTCCACAATGTAATGGACAACTTTAATTTCTTGAATTCCAATGTAACTCTAATTTTTTTACGTCAAAGATTATTTCAACGTTACATTGCTATACAGACCATTTGATTACATCTAGTAAGTATTTTAAATGGTTTAAGATTCCAGTAATCAATATAAGGCAAAACCAAAAAACGATGAAATTGCTATTTCTATTTTGTTTTCAAGATACTAACGATTCATGACGAATTATGACGATATGCTAATAATAATGCACGTAAGATAGATCAGTGATCTAAATAATGAGATTTTAGATGTTTTTGTAACACACCTGAGGGGAAATTATTAATATTCCTAATAAGCATATTATCTTGCGTTGAATCTTCGAAATTTAGAAATAAATAAGTTAGTAAATGGATTCTATGAATTTGAAGAAGAGTAAACTCAAGTAGAATGTTTACTTAGGGCATGTGAGCTATGCACTCCCAACATTACCAATACTCTATGTCCAAATTGTCAATGCATAATCGGCGACGGTATATCAAGAATGGCAATAACAGTAAACAGAATGATGCCAGGACCAAGTATACAAGTCTGTTTAGGAGATTACATTGTGGTTGACGTTGTTAATGAAGTCAGTGGTGCTGGACTGACGATTCATTGGCATGGATTATTCCAAGAGGACACGCAGTATTACGATGGTGTACCTATGTTAACACAGTGTCCAATACCCTACAGTACATCGTTTAGGTAATCATCGATATTTGTATATCTCTTTATTAATAATAACAATAATTAATTTAAATATTCACGTGCAAGAAAAATTTTATATCAGATGTATGTGAAACCTAATCCGAAAATTTGTTGAGTTTCAATAGGATTTAAGTTAAAAACTTCATTTCCTAATAGATATCAATTTTATGCAAATAACGGCGGTACGCATTTTTGGCACGCACACACTGGTCTTCACAAGATGGACGGCGTTTTCGGTAGTCTTATTGTACGCGAGCCAGCGAAAAATGAACCCAATGTGAAACTTTATGATTTCGACTTAGCGAATCACGTAATTGTAACCAATGATTGGATGATCGAAGAAGCAACAGAGCGAGCGCCTGGTCGAACTGCTGGTATAGTTAGTCAGATTGCTGATTCAATTTTAATCAACGGAAAAGGAACATATACGGTAAGATATACACTTTTCCCAATTGATTAAGCAAATTTAATAAATTATAAGTAATCAAGCGAGGATATATTGTTTTTACCTATTACGATCTATGACTGATTCTGTAATAGTTCAGGTTCGAGTACATGAGTTAGTACCTGATTTATCTAAGAAACAGAAACGAAAAGTTTTCACTTTTCAATGAAGCAAATTAATTATTTGATTGTACATTTGCGTAGTAAATTATGAATACATTGGTATTGATGCGAAAATACATAGCACGTCACAAAATAATTCTAATATTTTGTGATTGAAATGATTAAAGAGATACGAAGTATGTTGTTATCGGAGTGAATGGACGATAATTTGTTCTACAGGATTCCAATGGTAACACTACAAAGACTCCTTTGGAAGTGATCACTGTCGATGCTAATAAACGGTATCGCTTCCGTATGGTGAACGCTTTCTGCACTGTTTGCGGCGGAGAGTTATCAATTCAGGGCCATAATCTCACTATTATTGCGATGGACGGTAAACCCGTAAAACCTGTCGTTGTGGATTCAATTGTTTCCTTTGCTGGTACGATATGTATAAAAATTTCAAGCTTTATACTTTAATGACTGCTTACGCGTTCATATTTTTGCCGTGTTCAGAGTCTCTCGTTACTTCTACCAGTTTCTGGAACTAGGCGCTAAGAATGTTTGATTCTCTAAGCTATTCTATTTCCATCTCATATTTCCATGCCTACAAAATTTTTAGAAATTTCTTATTGAGGATGAATGGTTTTCTCTCAGGCAGATTCCAAGTAACAAAGTTTAATCATTCTTCTTTTATAGGTTACTTCATAAAAGTCAGAATGTAAGAAAAATGTATTGTACCACTATTCCTTCTTATAAAAATTAATCTCTTCAATGACATTCAAATGTCAGCATATTTTCTTGATTTTGGTTTCATACTATTGATAAGTGAGGAAGTCCATTGCTTATTCAGAGATTTTTTTGTACAAAGAGTTCTATATTTGAATTCAGCACATATAAAATAATTCAATGATTCTTTTAAACTTTATGTGCACGATACTTATGTCCTCAATGTGATAATTTCATCTAATACCTATAACTTTTAATACATTAAAAATACCGCTAATACCACTTGATTAATAAAGACTTTGACATTTTAACAATTTTTTACTGTTTGTCTCGAGATAAATTATTCCTCTTTTATTTGATTGCCTCATTGCCGTTATCTCTGTTTTTATTATCTTTGTTATATATATATTCTCTATGTTATATATATATCTGCCTTCTACCTGTTTCGTATGCACTTACCGCGGTTATACTTAGTGTTTACATATAAGATACTCAATGGTATTTGACTGACATTCTACCTTGTTTGAATCTCTTCGACGTACGTTATAATCAAGCGTACAGTACCGTCTTCAACAATTTCTAGAGCATAAATTATACAACAACTGAAACTTAAAATACAAAATTGGAAATCTGTTTCAAAGTTATTCATAACAAACGTTTAAATGATATAGGAGAGCGATATGATTTCGTCATAAATACGAATCAAACACCTGGTGCATATTGGATACAAGTCCGAGGACAGATAAGTTGTGCGGCAAATCAAATAATGGCATTGGCACTACTGCAATATACAAATGCATCCACAACGCCAGCCACAGCTGCACCCAACTATTCAGATGTATCTCCCGACCGAGTTGTAAGTAATGATTAAGTAGTACGATGAGTAGTTTATATTAGAAATTTATTACTGCGTATTTATTATAGATTTATATCTACATTAAAGTTATATTGATTATTTATTAAATGTACGCATTACATGTGCAATCATAGATTATGAATCCATTGGATGGCAATTGTTCTCGTACAGACCAGTATTGTGTTAGTAACTTGAAGAACGCGAGACAAGTGGATACGGCTATTCTATCAGAAAAACCGGACTTGAAACTATTTCTCCCGATAGGCGCATTCACATTTAATGAGAATGACGTTTTCAAACCTAACACTTACAACAAGTTTATAGGTAAGTCAGACACTTGATCTTTTGCATAAAATATTTTGTATATCGGCATGTTTCTAAAATATAATGCATATTATTTAATGTTCTTTTTAATTGTTGTAAACAGTACCCTTCCCGGGCATACACGTGACCGAATTAATTAACAACATCACGTTCCAATTTCCGCCGTCACCTCCGCTTTCTCAGCTGGATGATATCCCTGAAGATCAGTTTTGCAATGGTAACAACTTACCGAAAGACTGCAATTCAACTTTATGTCACTGCACACACTTGGTCGAGATACCATTAGACGCTGTTGTGGAGCTTGTAATCCTCGATTCATGTAATTGACATAAGAATTATTATTCCATATCGAAGAACAGAAGCTGACAAAATTATAGTTACTTTAATTTTTTAATTAAAATTGTGTAATAAGTTACGAGTTTTTACAATTACAGTTCGAGTACCAGATATAAAACATCCGTTCCATTTGCATGGGTATGCGTTTAATGTCATAAGCATGGCACAGCCTTTAGGACCAGCAAACAATACAAATAATTTTATGACAGTGGATTACTTAAAACAACTGGACGAGAATGAGCAAATAGAAAGAAACTTTGAATCTCCCCCTGGCAGGGATACTATCTCTGTACCGAACAATGGCTACGTCATAATCAGATTTCATGCAACTAACCCAGGTATTTATAATAAATATTTATAATTATGCAGGGTAGATCAATTTACTGATATTTTGCTCATTAAATTATTCTTGATGATAATTAAAATGTGTTACTGTCTTATTGTTATCAAGGCTTTTGGCTATTTCACTGTCACATACTTTATCATCAGCTGAATGGTATGGAAATGGCGTTCAGAGTTGGAGATAAAAAGGACTTACCACCAAAGCCAAGTAATTTCCCGACATGTGGCAATTTTCAACCAGACATTAACGCCAAGAATCGCAGAAAGCGGTGTTCTTTGAGAAGAAAATGATACTTATAATTTTGAAAAATAAAGTTTATAAATATCAAAGCTTGGCGAATAAATATATACTGTTTTATTGAATATATAGTTTTGTTGTTGTCATTGTTTTTGAAAATAAAGCAATACTTTGCGACTCTAGAATTCTTTTTTAAAAACTAAACTTGCCGTGTATGTGGCGTGCGAAAAATATCTTAACAGCAAACACATTTACACACTATCAAACTTCGAACTGCGATGGAATTTTAAAAGAAAGCATACACTATTAAATACTTCACAGGATTAATGACTGTTTAAATCACCTGGAAGAAACTATTGCACACACAAAATAAAATTAATGTAATATCCAAACAGTTTGATACGTATGGTGTAATTTTATTTTTATTCATTTTATTTAATACTAATTTGCATAAAAAATCAGAAAAACGCCTAAAAATGTGTCCGAAAATATTCCATAAATGATAAATTATTACAATCAATTATTTAATATAAAAGTTGGTAATATCTCAGTATATTCACGCAGTTTGAACAACTTCTTCCTTTAAAAAAATGTCTCTAACACTTAGTTTCCAAGATAGTCGCGAAAAACTTTTGTTACCGCAACACTGAATTCTTTATAAGTACGTGAACGGGGCCATAAGACAAACCAAGCATAGCCGCGCGGTAGCAAAAATAAATTAGTTTTCAGCTCAAGAAAGAACACGTCCGTTGTAGAACAGTTTTCTTTTTATTTCAGTATAGACTCAAGAAAGAAGACAGCCGCCGAGGGATTAGTATCAAGTACGATAGTAATAAGTTGGTTAGTAATAAGACTTGGAATAAAAAAGAGAGGTCGATGGAATTCAATTTTCATCCACCTCTCTGGGTCTCCACTCGCAGCAACCTGCATGTGGTGAGATCTGGACAACTAGCATTACTCTTGACTGAATATTTTCTTGTTGAGACTAATGGCCTGTAATAATTTTATATTTTAAATATGAATCATGTGATCATCAGTACTTATACAATATGTATATTTTTGAAAACCTTGTATTTAAGGTTAAGACTTTGAAGTTTCGATAACTCGAACGTTTTATAACACTAACTTCAATCTTTTAATTAAATATATTTCTTCTAATCTACCACCCTAATTCGTAGAGAACACAAAAAAAGACTACTTTTTCTACACGATCAGTATTTCAGATCATTGGATATAAAGTCACCGACCAGAGATAGGATAAATTATTGGATATCTTATGGGACTTTGTGTCCGATGGTCTGAAAAATTTAAGATTGAGGCAAGAAAATAAAAAAGAACACGTTGTTTATTTATTTGTTTGTATTTATTTGTACTCTGTTGATAAAGTTGTAAGTGTAGCGGGATTGGTAAGGTGGTCACGTAACCCCTTGGCCGTGTAACAAAAATTTATATTGGATGTTCAATCTATCCTGTCTCCCGTCGGTGTTAAAAATATGGTGATTATATCGTCCTGCGGTAAAGCAGTGCGACTATTCGGTGCTATTTGATCAGTAGTTCACACTATTTTCTACGAATGGCGTCACGGTTCTTACTTGATCATATTAAATGTCTTATTTATTACATAACGTACTCAATAATTCATTAAACAGTAATAACCAATTTACATTAGTACATTAATATTAACTTTTCTTTGCCAATATCGTTTGTATCAATCTATTCTACGAATTTTTAATTGATGTCTACGTTTCTCCGATATCGATATTTTAATTTGAGTCAACGAATCGTTCCAGAAACTATAACTCGGTATACACCTTCGTTTTTATTTTAGAATCGCGACAACGAATTTAAATGTACAAATATTACATTCTCCAGTGCCAGGTTCCTTTGATTCTAATATTTGGCAATCTGATACCATTTCGATTTCCATCTTACTTGGACTTACTGAATTGACCCCGAGTGGAATTTCGAGGAACGCCGCTGCGGGGATTCTAGTAGTCAGCATCTTCTGCATCCTCTAACATCCCATTTTATCTTCTTTCCTCCTATAACTTTTTTCTATTCATATCATCCTCTGGGCACCTCCTGCCATTCCTCTTCTTCCTTTCGTCCATCCTGTTCATCCTCCCCCTCGCCACTCCTATCGCCCGTTTCCTCTAGCCTTTTTTCACAAAATGTCTCTTGGAAATGCTACGTTCTCCACGATCTTCGATATCGGTCCTTCATATCTGATCGCATCTAGTCTTTAACACACATACCGGCTGTCTTCTAACCGACGATATCTGACAGGCTCCTCCGGAGTGTACGTCGCCAGATATATCATAGACTACATCACGACCGCGAGGGTCAAGTGTCATTGCAGCCAGTTTCCTGTTCGCTGGAGAACGAAAGTGTCGCGTGAATATCGTATTCGTGACGCAGTCAGGCACCGCTGATTTATGAGAATCTTTCTTGCAGAGTAATTAGAAGGATGCTGTAATCCTGTGCGATTTATTGGCGGTGAGGGGGTCCTTTCCTATCTACGTGTGGATTTCGTATTCGTTCGAGGGAGCAGAAATGATAAAAATAATACTATGTCCGTACTATCATTTCAAATACGCGATAATTAATGAAATAAAATAAGTAAATTCCTTTATTTATTGTATGAAAGGAGAGCTCTAGGAGGCAGGCAGTTTCTGACCGCGTATTTCGGTGGAGAGCCGATTGCCACAGCGGAAAACTGCGGTGCACTGTGCAACGTTGTCATTTTTTTTCATATTTTTTATTTCAAAAGATATTAATAATATATAGTTTGTTATTGCTTTATATTGATCAGAAAAAATTAAACTCTTCGCAAAAATTTTAGTTTCAATTTGAACATTACTTCCGAACAATATAATTGTAAATAAATACTTATTTTATATACTACCTATTAATCATATACATTTTAGCATTGAAGTTTATGTAGCTTTTAAGATCAAATTCACGTAGATTAACGTTTTATTTTAATTAACTTTTCCCTCTTCTTTATCTATCCCTATTTTCACTCTTGAAGTTCAAAACTTTTTCACTAGAAATATTGAACATATTCTGATAAGACATAGGTGCCATTCTTCGAAAGTAATAAATAAGGAAGCACACATAAATTAAGAAACAAAACTATTTCATTTAAATACTTTACATATTGATATTGTATATAAAACTTTATAATTTTGCTATATCAAGTCAAGTGGCGACTGAGGGTCACCTCTAGATTGCAAAGGGTTAAGGCTCGCTGGGCTTGGGCGCTTGGGCGGAACCCAATAAAACGTTGCTGCCGTAATTCATAAATTCGGCGTATCTCGGTCCCATCGGAGTCTCTCGATGGAAACAGGTTACGCCAACGAACGGTTCGGACGGCAAACATTCTTCCACGGTTCGAGGAATCGACGTCTCCATTAATTAGATACCGGTCGATCGAGCGTGCGACGAACCACGTCGCCGTCGCAGCCTCCCGTGAAATTGTGTTCCCGCTGATTTACGAGCTGCGCCGCGCCGTCGAGTGATAGATCCTCTCTCTCGACCGCGTATTATTTCCTCCGCATCGTTTCACGGCGATCGTTCTCGCGCGTTTCGTCGATCGCGCCAACAAATTCATCCCCGCGAGGTCCTTTCGATACGCAGCCTTCCTGTAGTTCCCGTTCCTGTTCCGGGTCTCTGGAATTCCCCCGACGGAACGGGGGAAAAACGAAGGAATGAAAAAACAGCGGAGAAGCCGAGGATACAAAGAGAAAAAGGACAATTCACTGGCGTTCCCAGGGTCCGGCGAAAAAACTTCGGATTCACTTTGCTCGCGGAGCAAGAAAAACCATCGGCTAGACCGAAGCGCGGCAAGAAGCGCGTAAACACGCCGCTCGGATCCAATTCGAGCTCCGGTCGGTTCCGTTAGTGGATACAGAGACACGGAGCTGGAGAAGGGAACGGCACGGGGGTAGGTGGGTAGTCGTGTGGTGGCAGTAGGAAGAAGAAGGGTGGAATCGGAGAAGAGACGGCCAGGCTCGCTTTGTTAAGGCGGCGGCGGCGCGGAATCGCAATATTTCCTAGGCGGGATAGGATCGCGTGTTATGAATCACTGCCGAAGCGGCGGCGATGTTCCGCGTGTACGACGTGGCTGTTTCGTGTATATTTCATTACGTGGCCAGTTTCCCTGCAATAACAAATAACGAGAAACGAGAGAACCAGTGAAAAAAGGGGATGGCGGAAGGTACGGGGGTAGGAGCGAGAAGATGAACGGAGAGTGGGGTGGAACGGGGTTGAGCAGAAAAGGAGGCGTTCTAGGGTAGTCAGAATGAAGGGTGCGGAGGGAGACCGAAACGAAAGAACTGGAATGGAGATACGAAGCCGAGTTTTCGGCTTACTGGACCGATGCGAATCTGGGGGGTAATAAGGAAAAGCGGAGACGGAAGGTGGCGGAGAGCAAACAGAGGGTAGGACGGAGAGAAAGGATGCTCGCAGCGTCGGCCAACTGCGCGGAGAGACTTTTCTTATCGCATGAAATATGTAGCGGTCGTACGTTCGTTATGGAGATCGTGGCGCGGGAACTTTTTCCCCCGTTCCCATTCTTCCTCGTCGCGATGTCGTGCGGTGACACGGCTTTAAACAAATTTGCGATACACCGCGAGAAATCGCGGTTACGGCGATGGAGAACAGACTGGCAGGGGGGCGTGCATTAGAATAGAAAGCCGGTCTTCTGCGTAAAGTCTGGCTCTTCTCGTTTGCGTTTCGCTCGAGATTTCGTCTCGCCGGGAACGCCGCTCGACAGGAAACTTCTGATTTTGATGAAACTTTCGGGAGGCGCGTTCAACCTTTCGAAGTACATTTCGGCTTAAAAGTGTCGAGATGCTTGTCGAATGTATATTTCATACTTCTCGCGTGAACGTGTGAAAGGAAACGTTGTCCTTTCAGATGCAACGAGTTTATGTATGTAGTCCTTATGGTAGAAGACCTTTAAAAAAGCGGAAACTTTCTTACAGATTGTTAATGGTATTTTATGTTCATTGAGAGGACCTCGGTTGTTCTTGACGTCGCTTGAAGAGTA